TGGCTTAAACCTTTCCCATACTAATTAATGCAATCACACTTCTCATCATTTACTTCACAATCTTAACAGGACCCATAGTCACTATTCTCAGCACCAATCTCTTCATTATATGAGTTTGTCTAGAAACAAATCTCCTATTCATAATTCCACTAAGTAGATAGCACATCAAATCCACGATCCACAGAAGCAGCAACAAAATATTTCCTTACCCAAGTCACTGCCTCGATAATTCTTCTACTTCCTATCATTATAAATTTTAAACATCTAGGACTAAGGATATTCCCACCTGAAGCTAACAACACCATCCTCACACTAACCTTTATCTCTCTAGTAATTAAACTAGGGCTAGCAGCCTTCCACTCATGACTACCAGAAGTAACACAAGGCATTAAACTACACACAGGCCTAAATCTACATACATGACAAAAATCACCCCACTATCAATCTTATTCCAAGTACATTAACTGATAGACCTTAAAATCCTGATCCTATCAGCCACTATATCAGTCCTTATTGGAGCCTGAAGCAGACTAAACCAAACACAAACACGAAAAATTGAAGCCTACGCATCCATTGCTCACATAGGCTGAATAATCTCTATCTTACCCTACAACCCATCCCTCACAATCCTAAATCTTCTAATTTACATTCTTATGACCATTCCTATATTTATAATCTTTCACTACCACTCACTCTCGTCAGTCACCTCTGTATTACTTATGTGTAATAAAATACAAATAGCACACTCCATAATCTCACTAATCCTACTATCAACTGGAGGACTACCCCCACTCACAGGATTCTTACCCTAATGAGCTATCATTACAAAACTCCTAAAAATAACAACTTAATTCTAGCTACATTAATAGCAATAACTGCCTTAATCAACCCATTTTTCTACACTCGCCTGATTTACTCAACCTCACTTACCACATTCCCTACAAACAATAATTCCAAAATATTTATTCACCAAACACATACAAAACTAACAATATTCTATCATTATTAATAATTACAAACACAAAAATCCTCCCACTATTTCCTCTACTATTACTATAGATAGACATTTAGGATACTCAGTCCAAGAGCCTTCAAAGCCCTGAGCAAATCTATAAAGTTTAACTACTGATAAGGACTGCAAGACTGACCTTGTAATGTCTGCTGCTGAGTAACAGATCTACAGCACCGGAGACCAACACTGAGCTCCAGGTAGGGCACCATCTCCTGGACATCTAGACTACAATCTGGAGGCAGGTTGGATATATTAGGTTCTTTCTCTGTGAAAAGAAATATGCCTCTTCCTTATTGGAGTAGATAATTATTCTGGATATGGATTTGCCCTTCCTGAATGCATTGCTTCTGCAAAAATCATCATCCATAGACTTACCTAACTTACCTAACGTAACCATGGTCATGTTATTTCACACAATATTGCTTCTGACCTAGGAATTCACTTTACACAGAGAGAATTGCAACAGGGTGCCCCGGATCTAGAAATGCACTGGCTTTACGTACTCCCTACCATTCTGAAGCAGCTGTCCTGAAAGAAATATGGAATGCCTTTCAGAAGACACAGTTGCTTTACCAATTATTTGGCAGGATTCTGGAGGGCTGGGGCAGGGTTTTCCAGAAGGTGGTGTATTCTTTGAACCATTGTCCAATGCATAGCGTGGTTTCTCCTGTACCCAGGATCCACAAGTCCAGTAGTTAAGAGGTGAAAAGGGTCATGTTTCCACTCATTCTCATCCCTATTGACACACTATGAAGATATCTGATTATTATTCCGTATCTCACTTCCTATTGGCCTAGAAACTAGTTCTAGACATTGAGTTACTCCTTCCAAAAAATACAGCCTTCCTCTGAATTGAAAGCTCAGACTTGCCCTGGCTGTTTGGGTTTCTGATGGCTTTTATCTAACAGTCAAATAATGGAATAACTGTGTTGGGTGGAGTGATTGTTCCTGATTACCAAGCAGACTTTGGTTGCTTGTCCACAGTGGAGGGGACAAAGATTATGTCTGGAGGTCATGTGATCCTTTAGGACATCTCTTTATGTGACCACATCCTGAGATTAAAGGTGGGAAACTTTAGGAAACCAATCAGGCAGGATGACAAAGGGCATGAAGGCCTGGGTCATGTCTGCAGGAAAGAGTGAAGACCTGGTGAGGTGTTCGCTGAGTGTGCAGGAAATGCAGAGTGAGCAAAGGAGGACCACAGCTACAGATTCCAGCAACGGTGGCTGCAGAAATGGGGATTATTATTGACATGGGGGTTTCTGTTCTTTCCTGGTTAAGAATGTGTTTGTACAGATATTTGTGTTTTCTTTCCTCAATTTATTCATCATATAGTATAACATCAATTAAAAGAATATCAGGGCATATATATTCATGTTTTAGATACTAAAACAATGCTTCTTAAGAAACATGGTCTCCTATTATAATATTAGTAATGGATCTGTGGGGGAACGAAGGAAAGTTTTGATTGATGTAAGTATGACCTGCTTAAATATATAATGCATCTCCAATCGTCTACGTAACAATTAATCTTTCTGAGACATAGCTAAGACCTGGTTATAGTATTACCATAAGCAGAAATTAAGCATAATTTAGGAAGATACAATAGCATTTTACGTTGAAAACGGGTGAACTTGTGATGGGTTTATGGATTAAAGTTAACTTAGCTCCATTTCGAATTAACTGAAATCAAAGCAGCTGGGTACATCTGTAAGGAAATGTTTCTTAATTAAATTATTTGAAGCAGAAGGAGATATTTTTAATCTGGATTTTATGAGCTGAGAAGACCCACTTTAATCTGGGCCACGTGTTCTGCTGGCAGCCTACATAGAGGACATCGATGGATGCCTGCTCCTTCACCTGCCTGCTCTCGATCTCACTGGCAAGTCCACTCCTTCACTGGCATCGGAGCTCCTTCTTCAAGATTCCAGCACATACTGAAGACCAGGTGAGACTTCTCGGCTTGTGGATTGAACAACTACTTGATTGCTTGCTCTTCCATTGTGAGACAGCTATTTTTGGACTAATTGGGCAAGCGCTTTTAAATCTTTCCAATAAATTCCCTTTCGGTGGAGATTTGTCCTGTAACATTTGTTCCTACAGTGAATCCTAATAATGACATTTAGTGTTCAGACCCAGCTCACGGCAGCATGAGATATCTTCAGCACCAGGCGCCTTAGATTCCTGGTCTGAACTATGACGGATGGAGGGACGCAGCTGTGGCGTGCCAGTGTTCATGGAGCTCATGAGGTGGTGACCTCAGGGACGTGATTGGACATAGTGAAGTTGTTGGGACACAGCTGCTTCCAATACATGGGTCCCCACCTTCTCGCTTGATGGCTCCCATGGGTGATGCCTCAGTCCTCAATGGACAAGGGAATCTTGTGTGAGACCCTCCCCCCAGGCTGTAATTGTCTGCAAGCACATGTCCTCCTGTTCAGTGTGTGTCTCAGGAGCCTCGAGACTCAAGCATGTCTCAAATTGAACATGCTAATTTCCCTCTCTGTGCGGGCCTCCAGCAGTGTTTCAGGTCTGATGGAGTGTCCGTGGTTACTCAGCACTGTAACACAAACGAAACTTGATTTCCTCTTGTCTTCTGTCCTGTCACAAAACCAGCTGATACTTGAGTAAAATCACCCACTCTCCAGATGTGGCCTCCTGATCCCTGAAGCTGCCCTCAGTGTCAGTACCCACATTGCCCATAGCGGTTTGAGGATCCCAGGACAGGAACCGTGATTCACCCGTCCAGAGCTCCCTGTCATTTAGAGTCCTTTCAGGATTCTCCTAGGGTCAGGCTCTTTGCCATCTGGTGATGGTTTTTTTCTTTCCTAAATACCCACGTATTCTTAGAATACCTCCATTGTTGTGTGCCCTGCCAAAAGCATTTTTCTGGTCATCTGACCACCTTCTCATCCTCCTCTGAGCTCAGCACTGAGGTTGTATGATCATTAGACTCATTTGGGTGCTCTCTGGGAAGCATCCATAGCCTTGTTTCATGTTCCATCTGCCCAGGCCTAAGAATATCAGCTTGGGGAAGACTGTTCCTCTTACACGAGTCATACTGTTGAGCTGTGATGTTATCGGGAAATGACTAAGCTTCTCTGTGCTTTAGTTTCCTATCCAAAAAAGGGACAGATATTATTACATACGTCAGAGGCTCATCACACAAGTCACACAATGTGAGTGACAACCTCTCCTACCTTATTGTCACTGGAGGCCACACCCCTGCCAACAGGAGCTGAGTGAACACTGCCTGATCACTTTCCGTGGAGATATATGTTTATTGATAATTTGTTTCGAGTACTGCATTTTGGGTAAAGAAGAAGGTGGTGTCCATTTGCGGTATGAGGTTGGTCAGTGGGGAACCTAGAAATGGCTCCTCTGAACTAGGTAGGTGCAAGAGGGGTAAGGAGCTGAGGTGACCAACTGACCCCATGCAGCTGTGGGAATAGGTGTTGTAACACAGTGCCAGATGTGGGCAGGGCCAGGAGCCCCTCACGGGACAGTGGGTGGCAGAGCCTGGAATAGGGATAGTGTGAGTCAGGAATTGGGCACCAAGTGGTCCCAGATTCTGGAAATAGACTCAGCTAGCATTTCCCTGCTCAGTCCTGCGGTTGAGTTCCCCATGAATGTCCACATGCTTGCATAGTTGCATCAAGGCTGTGCAAGCTGAAGACAGACATAACCACAGCCTAGATAAGGACTGTGACTGCCTGCCAGGCTCCATGCTTTGGGTAGAGGTCGATTCAGGAGCAACAACAGGGAGGGGCCACAAAGACAGAGTTCAGGGTCAGGAACATGAGCTAGTGCTGCAAGAGGACGGAAACCTAACACTCTCTTTCCACAGGACCCTGTGCATGGTGGAGTCATACAGTTAGTCATTGTCCTGTCCAATCCAGGCACGCCACAGACAATCAGAGCATGTGAGAGCCAACATACACATAGAGACCCAAATACAGAGTTAATTCCGGCTCCCAGGAGGAAGCCTCACCATTGGCAAGTTCTAGTTTCCCTTGGGATTTGTGATTTTGGTCATAAAGAGTGAAGACTGAGTATCTGTGTCAGAGATAATCATCAGGAATGGCCTGTTGAAATTCACATTCAAAGGATTCTTAAGTAGAGCCGATCCTTTCTTCAACATTCCTGTGGCAGCCGCTGCTTCTGTGCCTGTCTCAGCCACGTCCAGCACAGCCTTGTGGACCACCTGTAGGAGAAAGACATCACTCACTGGAGACCAGGGAGGGCAGGAGAGGAGATTCTTGGAGCATCCACTGCTGTCCTCAGCTGCTCATGAACTTGTTCCTATCATGAGCTCTACCCCTCGTGTCAACCAACCTCTGCTCTGGGTGTGAGATGAGGCACGCGCTGGGTCTGGTCAGTCTCTGAGAATATCTGCTGCTCTCAAACCCACTACACAGTGAGGATGGGTGGAGGCAACACCAGTCCTTACTCCACTTCCTCAGGAGACTCACAGGGAGCAGCCAGGGTGTTAGCAGCCAACACAGGCTCCAGCATCCTTCCTGCTTCAGGCTTCTTGTGGCATAAAATTGCAACGTACATGGCCTGGCCTCTCTTTCCCAGAGTGCCATGGCCTGCTGCTACAGATATGAGCCTATGACTCTGAATGGGCACTGGACGGAACACTAGGCATTGCCAGGCTGTGTATCCGGAGAGGTAGTGTGTCGTTCCAGGGCACCTCCTCTCCTATCCTTACACTATTCATCACAAATGCTATACATCTTTTGTTATTTCCTTTACTCCTATTGTTCTGTGTGCTAATCAGGAAGATCTGGGTAGCCCTGAGGTGAAGAAGTAGTTCACCCTGCAGTTAATTGTGAGTGGCATCCATACTACAGCACAGGTTAATATGAGCAAGCAAAGGCTCTTCCCTGCCCTGGGCGCCTGGGTGAGATTTTCTTCAGGGCATATAGAAGGGATTGGCAGCATGGTATCTCCCGGGATTATCTAAATTGTAATCCAGGATGAGGGAATCTCAGAGATGCAGACTTTCTCTCACGTTTGTCATCTCTCACACACCTAGCCCTCACCATCCTCATTCAGGCACCAATGACAGTCACCCAGAGTGTCTTATCTTACCTGAGAGACTCTCAGGTTCTTAGACCCTGTGATCCCAGACAGGTCAGCCTCTGTGGAGAAGACTTCCCTGATGCCCAGCTGTGGAAGGATGTTCTGCAGGCTGTAGTCAGTGGAGACAGAGAACTTGGGCAGGGAGAACTCATTGATCTTTCTGCAAAGCGAAAGGAGAAATAAAAGAGTCACCGAAGTGTGTGTTCCCATCACACAACTTTGTACCTTGGGTAGCTCTCCTCAGAAGGCCCTCTTGCCAAAGAGAAACCCTCTTTCTCTCTGTGTCTACATCACATGACTTTGTTTTCCTATTGCATTATTGTTCTTCCTGCTGGAGAGGTAATGAGGCTTGGTATCAACTTTTTCTTTACCAAAAATGCTTCTCTCCAAGATCACAAAATGCAGTACTTGCACTGGCGTGTGGACCCTCAGACTCTATTAACCATCCTCCTATTTAAGATTGCACACCCCATCTGACTCTAACTTTCTGCATCCCTGGATCCTGCCCTACTGAATCTCACCGCCTCTCACATTTTAGCAAATCAAACAATGATCAGTTGCATTTCCATCTCCCTACTCTCTCTTCTTCAATTACAAAGTGAGTTCACAGATAAGAAATCTTGTGTTTTAGTCTCTTATATACTCTCTGGGTTTAGATCGGAACACAGTACATAGTAGGTCTTCAAGTCGTTCTTGTACTAATAGTGAATGAATGAGAGATGAGGGGATGCCATGGCTACACAGGGCAGAGCTGATTCTCAGCTGATCTCCTCCCACCCTCACTTCTTCTGCCTTCCAAGACCCATGCAGGATTCCGTGTAATTACAGCCTGGGAGACACAGAGGAATCCTCAGCTCCTGCTCTCGTTGATGTCATCTTTAGAACAACAAAAATGAAAGGAAACGCAGTCCTCACACTACAGAGTCAGCAGAGGAAAATTCACCTCGGCTTCACTTGTCTCTGCTGACTCGGCACTCATTACACTGATTTCTAGTGTGACTCTGAGGTACAAGAACCCTGGGCTCCAGGCCAACCTTAGGATGCAGACTCAGACCAGCTCTTATTCCAGTGGACTCGCACCTGGACCTCAGAGAGTCCCTCCACTTCCTCAGGGTCTCTGGCTGCAGGCTGGCTTCCACCTGCTGCATCCTGCCCTCGTCAGGGAGGATGAACAGGGCGCTGGCATTGCCTGTGTACTTCAGCTCCACCACAGTGCAGGCCAGCTCCTCATCCCAGAAGTAGGGGGTGGTCAGAAACTTAAGTTTCATCATGGGCACCTTCACAGTCCTCTTGTTGTCCAAGTAGAAGTCAGACTCAAATGTGAAGTCAGGGTCAAAGGGTTTCCTCCATTTCCCTAAATGTGGAGCAGGTCATCAATTGTAACATCAGCGGAGAGACTCCACCCCCACCCCATTTCTGCCCCATTCCTCAGTCTTGACAGTCTTCCACAATCCATCTGCAACAACACTGAGTTCCCTTCTGGTTATGTAATCTAGGTTAGAAGAATCATCGGCAGATGCAGAACTGTGAGTGAGATGTTATTCGCAGACTTAAAAAGGGAACTCATAACCAAAGCTTCCCTACTTGAAGCAGCTGAGAAACATTCAGGGATCTGAGGCTGGGGTGTGTACCACAGATTTAGAGTGAAGGTGCTGAGACTGGGGCCTGGGAGAGTTGGGGACCCCTTCTTCCTCTAGACATGTCTAGAAGGCAGGCCCTTGTGGACAGGTTTTAGAGGAAACAGGACAAAGGAGACTGGGTTCTCTTACACCATGGTCTGACGACGGTGCCGTCAGTGTGAACCACCTTAATAAAAGTCAGTGCCCAGAACCAAGGGTGGGTTTAGATGGAAGCCTGTGACATCTGCAACTCCCAGCTGGATTATCAGGTGCCCACAGTTAGTTGACAAACACATGGGTAATGAGTCCTCTTCTCCCCCATGATATATGTTCTCCTCTATGAATCAAAATAATCCTGCTCAGACTTGTCCCAGCTCCCAAGTGCATGTGCAAGTCTACAATACATCCCTGGAACTTGGTACTTGGACAGTTTCTTTGGGTCAGGATCCAGCAGATAAAAATACATCTCCACTCACAGGCATGCTGCTTTGTAACTTGTTTCCATGACCAGCAGAGGGAGCCACACCCTGCATTCTCACCCCTCAGACCTTCCCTCTGCTTCCCCTCTGTGCAGAGCACATCAGCTATGGGGCCATCTTTCCATCCTGTCCTCAGTCCTCCTACCTTCCTGTGTCCTCAGCCAGTTATTTTCTGTCTATGGTCTCAGATCCTCGACTCCTCTGCCCTGAACCATCTAGAGTTCATGTTCCAAATCCACCCAGGTCTGGTCACATCCGTATTTCATCAGGCCTCATTCTGTGGGGCCATTACCTCACTCCTTGGTCTATCAGGTAGGGATTTGTGGGCATGTCTTCTGGTAGTCTCCCCACTAACCCTTTCCCACAGTAATTCCAGCCCAGTCTGCCAATCTCTTGTCCCTTAACCCCAGAATCACTGTCTTCAGCACTGTGACCCCACAGGCTGCCCGGGATACGAGTTTTACAAATTAAAATTCCACGACGTATTCAGACACTAAACACAGACCACTGCCTAGCTGACACTTCCCTCTCACTAATGGCTTCTCCTCAGTTCTTGCTTTTTCACGTCCAGGTCTAGCCTTACAGAAAAGGCTCAGGGGAGAGTTCCTGCACAGGATCTGCCCACAGGACACTTCAATATGGTCAACTTTGCTACTTCCTCCTCAAGATTAGGGTAACCAGGCTCCTTAGGTCAAGAAATCCCAAGCCCCCATGGGTCTTCTTTGAGATTATCTGGCAGACGAATTCTATTGGAGCATCTTAGAAAGGTTAGCGAGTTGAATAACAGATTTTGTTTGTTGTTGTTGTTGATTTTAATGTAATTGACCCCCAACCGCTCATAGGGAGTGGCATTATTATGAGGTGTGACTTTGTTAGAGTAGGTGTGTGGAGCCCACAGTGACTTCATTCCATCTTGTCTTAAGGTAAAAGAGTTCAACTTGTTATTACTCCTCAAGGTCAAATAACAGGACATTTGTCCAAAGGCTTGGGTATTAGATGCTTTGAGAATCAAGAAGGTGATTACACTTGTTTGTTGCATGAAACATGGCAAGGAAGTCTTTTGCCCTCCCTTTTTGCTTTGGGTATAAAAGGACTATGATAAATAAATCTGGGGCTTCTGCAGTATTCACTGGGAGGCCTCCCAATTTTATCTTCTGTCTTTTGTCTCTTCCTATTTTAATCCACACTCCCCTATTCTGGTAAAGTTCGACAGGTCCACTGACCCTGACATAGTTGTGGTCTTGTTAGAGAAAGTTTGTTACTGTGGAGGCAGGCTTTGAGGTGTCAATATATTCTCTAGACACTGTTGAGAGTCTCAGACTAAATCCTCTATCCTGAAAGATGTAGGACTTTCATACTCCTCCAATGCTTGCATACTGCATGTCCCATCATGGTGATAATGGACTGAACCTCAAAACTGTAGTGAGTTTCCCCAGTGAAATGCTTTCCTTTAAAAGAGTTACCATGGTCATGGTGTCTCCTTACAGCAGTAGAACACTGACCAAGGCTCTGAACTGCAGGGGAAACATGACTTCCTCATACTCAGGTAGGACTGCACATGTGACCCATGCATTCTGATAGTCAGTTAGTTTATGTCACAGACAAATTCAGCCCTCTTAGACTGGGAGTTAAGGGGTTCTGTGGAGTATGTACCAGGAACCACATCTATATCCAAAAGATCTCAAAGGAGAAGTAAGGCCATTTAATAATAATAAGTTAGGCACCCTCGTCCAAGGCCATGAGTCCCTCCTTTCCAGGTGTCAGTGTATGAACACAAGGTGCCCAGGCAACAACCTCTCCATCCACCCACGAATCAGTGCCCATCCTCACCTTTAAAGTAGATGTAGTTCACCAGCACCATTACTGTATCCACATCCAGACCTGAGATCAGGTCCTTGATCTTCCCATGGGTCTGTTTCCTCACATAGTCATTGATGAGAGTTTTGGCCTCATGAGGCTGCTGGAAGTCGACACTTGAGGCCCCAGCATGGTAGAGCGCCCTTGCTTTCTCCCTGAACTCCGCAAGGATCAGCAGGCGCTTTTCAACAAACATGGCGCTGCCTGTGCTGATCTGCACCTGGTCCCCTGGCTGGCTGAGCATGTGGAGGAGGTGTCCAAATTCCCGGTGGATGTCTGCCTCAGGGGTCTCTGTGAGATTGAACTTGAGACCTTCTAGAATCTCTTGCAAGGTGTTGTTGCTTGCTCCCAGGGACAGGACGGCCAAGGCAGCTGAGATGTTGAATGGGGAGAAGACAATGTTTTTATCTGAACACTTCATAGTCAGCTCCTTGTAGAGCCTGAAGGCGAAGTCAGTATTGGTTGAGGCCAGTGTTAGACTGTCCACTTGTGTCCCATTGCTTTGGTTTTCCTGGATTGCACAATCCCTTCCCAAGGTGCAATCAGACTGGCAGAGGACAGCAGGGGTGTTTCCAGACATCACTCTGGTCTCCTGGTTGAAATGAGAAGATTCTTTTATCTGGGATGACCACGTGATTCCCTGACCACCTCCTAGTCCTCCCACCTGGCTTGCACTGTGTCCCTTTGCTGCCTTTGCGTCTGTGCATGGGAGGTTCCCTGGCCCCTCAGATGGCAGTGCCACATCCTCTGCTCCTCTTCACTACAGGAAGAAGTGCTGCTGCTGTAACCAGTTTTCCTAATGGAGAACCAAGACCCAGAGTTGAAGGGATTGGCCAGGGTCACAATGTAAGCAAGAGAAGACCTAGGGACGGACTCCAGGCTTGTGTAATCTGAATGTCACCTCTTCTCTTCTGGCTTAGCTTAAGGGCTCATTATAAAGCAGGAACCTCTTCCTTGGCACTTGTGACCCCTAACTCATCACAAAACTCTAGTCAGGACTCAGGGAATAAAACTCAGACCAGCTATATAGCACAGAACCCACCACAACCTCAAATAGACATGTCTTAGACATCTCACAGCCCTGGGTTGAATCTCAGTGCAAGTATATGGTAGCGTGTGGGGTTGATTGAACACAGCACTGGAGACATCTTGTGCAGCACCAGAGCCTTTGGCCCGTGAGAACAGGCATCAGAAGGATATAGATAGGGAGGGTCTTACAGTCCTGCCAGGATCCACATTGTGGTTTGTATCTCAGCTTGGAAGGTCTCCTGATGGGAAGAAAAATGAATGGTGCCCAAGTCTCTGATACCGGAATGAGATTTCATTTTGGCTATCAAGATGAATGTGTGGTCACAAGAAATGGGTGGACTTCCCTGGCAGCCTGGTCACTGACCCCGGGTACATTATTAGCAAAAGAGTAGCTTATTATAGACATCGTGGGTATTTGTAGGGGATGTCCTGATCACCATCTCCTACATATGTCCCTGGACTGGGGACACAGGCATCACACAGACTACATTTCATGGTTAACACTTTCACCCATCTTTAGCCTCTGTCTACTTTGGAGATGATGTCAGAGGAGACAGTAGATGCTCGAGGAATGGGAAGGTGAGAGAGAAGAACGGAGGAGAGAGGGTGCAGTGGGGAAAGGATGAAGGAGTGGGAGGGCAGAAGGAGGAGGAGGCAGGAGGATAGGAGGAGGTAGGGGATCAGATGAAGGAGCCAAGGGGCAAATGTAGGGGAGAAAAGACTGTAACAGTATAGGAGGAGAATAGCGTAAGCAGGGTAGGGAGGTGTTGGAGCAGAGCCACATGTCCCCAGGCATGTAACATGCCTGCAGGGAGACAGAGACTTCAGCTGTCCTTACACTGTATTTCCTGTCAGATTGATGCAATTATTTCTTTAGAAAACATTCAACAATATTTTGTGTCAAAATTGATTCTACAGAAAACAAGCTAGTTTTGTTTGTGTGGCAGACTTGGCTCAGTGGCTGAGCTGTATTAGGAGAGGGTGGGAAACCTTTTCTTGGTTATTGGATTTTCTCTGGCAGTGAGGTTTCTGACCCCAAGATTTTCTTGTCTGCTGCAAGCATGGCAGTGATTCCACCTCCCCCATAGGGACTCTGCAAATTTCCTGTCTCCCTCTGCTTCCTACATCAGCACCCGGGCTAGTCAAGGTCTCAAAACTCCTGTGGAGGGTGGGAAGGAGCAGGCTCCATTCACTCTCCAGGAGCAGAGCCCATGGCTCCTCCTCCATCTTCCCTAGACAGGAAGACCAAAACTGAAGAAAAGATTTTTATGCACCCCAGAAATGTTCCCTGATCCTAGTCCAGTGCCACAGGATCAACTCCTCCCCATCCAACCCAAGACTCCACACCATCACCAGTACCAAACAGACCTGAGAAGTCTTCTCCTATGTCCTCTGAGAGCAAGATTCTTGGGAATCACCTGCAGAGCTGATGCCTGCTACCAGTGTCTGTGATGGATGAGTCCTGATGTTCCTGGTTGCTGCTGCCTGGTGTATTATCTGTCCACTGCACACAGATGCCTACTTATCCCCACTTGGGACTCCTCCCTTTTATGAGGAAATGCTGACACAAAGAATCTGTGTTCTGTGCTCTGTCTGGAAATGGACTGATGGATGCTTTCTAGTTGATGTACATTTAGAAGCCCTCCCTAGGGACAACCACTTCCTGATCCAGAGTCTGGCTGCCTGATCTGAATTTCAGTACTGGAGAGAGATGGGAGCATTGCAGGACCAGAGGCTAATTGCCATTTTGTGGGCTAAGTGCTGCCTTTCTATAACAGCCATGTTTGTCTCCTTCTATGTAAGAACACAACCTTGTGACTGTAGAGTCTATTACCTTATAGACAACTAGCTTTAGTCCAAAGCTAAGAATGCCAGTAAACAGCATCTTGAGTCCCCTAAAGCAACCTCTTCATCTGGATGCACCTGTTTCTGCATCCCCATCCCTGCATTTAAAACTTGCCTTTACATGTGACTTTCTTTGTTTTGTAGAGACACAAAGTTTCCATGAACTATTTCCTTGTGGAACATAGAATTTGGGGTAACAGAAATCTGTGTTTCAGATCACTGTCACTAAAGAGGCTCCAATAAAGTCTCTGTTATTCCCATTAACATGAGAGCTGTGGTGTCTGCTTCAACAGTGGGGTTAGAGACTCAGCAGGCACAGGTTAGTTCCCAAGCTTCTGTCCCCATGGAGGTGCTGGTACTAACAAGGATTTTATCTGGCAAGTCTAAGGCTTAAAGTCTCTGTGCCCCCAGAGAAGCAGATCACCCATGGTGCACTTCTGCTTGCCAGGAGTCACCCTAACCTTTCAACAAATGCCAACTACCTCTCCAAGGGCACCCAGCCCCCTTGCAGCTCAGACAGTCTGAATCAGCTCAAAAATTGCTACCCTGCTGTCATATAAAAATCTGTTTTCTTTTCTGCCATTTTGGTTCTTCTCCCGCCACCTCAGAGAGAGATGATAGCCTTGACAGTTTAATACCCAATAAATTTTTGTTTTTCACCACACTGGTTCTGTAGCCAGTGAGAGAGCACTGGGCACCTTTGAAGGGGAGCTATCTCTGTAACAGACTTAAAGTGCTGATGTTTGACTCTCTTGCGTACTAATCATTAGCTTCTGTTGGCCCTGCCCCTCTTTATTCCCCTGTTGTAGTGATATTTCTTTTATATTTGAATAAATTAAGCTTGCCTGAAGAGCAGAGAGTAAAGGAGCCCCATTGGTCAGCCATACAGACCAGCAGTTGTAACACACACATAATCCCAGCAGCCACCCTAGTGTGAAATAGGAGTCAGGCAGAAGTGGTCCATGTCTTTATTCCCAGTCCTAGGGAGGAATATAAGATGTGGGAGACAGCTCTTACACAAGTCTCCTACTGAGATTCCTGGAGACTGGATGGCCATTTCAGACTGAGGTAGAGATAAGAGCCAGTGACGGGATGTTTTGCTTTTCTGACCTTCATCTTGAACCACAATATGTGTCTCTGGGTTTTTATTAATCGTGCTATATCTGGCAACCAATGTTTGGGGCACAAATTCATAACAATCCCATTGACCTGATGCTTCTTATTCACTAGCTCAGGCCAGAGCCTGACCCAAATCTAACCACCGGAATTTGGAAGAAAAAAATTAGCACGACCCTTACTTAGCTTCCTCTCCTGGCCTGCTGTCCACCCATGGTTTACCACAGAGTGCTGCAACCACACTTAGCAGCCATATAGCTTTTTGTGCCCACCCTACATCTTTCTGTGGATTCACTGGATCCCATGGCTTGCAGGCAACCCTTCACATGTCTCCCATGTGGCTACTCATTATTCCCATGGACATGTGCACTTGCTACATAGATGCCCTGACCAATATGTCTTTAACAAAAATCCTTTCAGATTGGTTTTGAGTTGTGTTTAAGAAATCCACAGGGTAGCAACATTGAAAGAAGTAGATCCAGAGCTGCGGCATCTCTGGTCCTACTTTGCAACAAGCCAAAAATATATAACAAGAAGTCCTACTTGTTCTTTATACAACCAAACATCACTGCCAGTAGGAAGTAACCCAGAGTAGTCAAAGAAATGAAATCTGGCAGATGGGTGTTTTCCATTTTGTAGAATTTGAAAAATTAAAGTATTTACACCACACCATTTTAGCTATTCAGGTTTTCAATGGACAACTTCTTATAGTTTGGAAAAGGCTGATTCAGTAATAACATATTTAGTAGAAGTTATTGCCATTATGGGTACGCAAACACAATTTAAAGATAGACAATGCTCCAGCATATATCTCTTAGAAAATGAAATTTTGCTTATTTAATATAAAGTATATTACAGGTATACCAAACAATCCTACAGGTCAGGTAGTTGAAGAAAGATAAAATGGAACTAAAAAGGATATGTTAAATAAACAAAAAGGGATGATAAAAATAACTGCTTAATGCTTTATTAACTGTAGTAATATTTTATTTATATTTTAATAAATAAAGCTTACCTCAAGAGCAATGAGAAAAACAGCCCTATTCGCCAACCTTACAGACCAGGCAGTGGTGACACACATCTTTAATCCCAGCAATAGTTTGCAATAGAAACTAGTTTGCAATAGAAACTGGCTGGCAGTGGTGTATGCCTTAAATCACAGCCCTAGAGAGGAATATAAGATGGGAAGAGAAAGCTCTCACACACAGTCTCATTCTGAGATGATGCGGGAGAATTGTCAGTATTCTGTCAATCATATTTTAATAAAACGCTGATTGGCCAGGCAGGCAGTATAGGCAGGAAAACCAGACAGGAAGTAGAGGTGATGCAATGAGAACAGGAGAATTCTGGGAAGCAGAGAAGTTCCTCTGCCACTCCTGTGCAGACCACTGAAGAGGCAGCATGTAACCTGCCCTGCTGAGAAAGGTACGGAGCCATGTGCTAACATAGATAAGGATAATGGGGTAACATAAGTTATAACAGCTAATAAGTAGCCTGACCTAATGGGCCAATCAGTTTATAACTTTATGGAGTCTTGTGGGTGATTTACCTTGGGACTTGCTGGCTTTTTGGGGTACTGGGCCGGACAGA